CAGCACTAGTGGGACACATCCGGAGTGCTGGGTCCAGCACGCGCCAGACTGAACTGAGTCCTGCAAAGGGCCATAAAGATGACCAAGGGATTGAAGCACCTGTCATACAAGGAGAGGCTGAGAGAACTGGGGTTGTTCAGGCTCGAGAAGACAAGGCTCAGGGATCAGTCTAATCAGGATGCAATAAATACCAGGCCTCCAACCTGTCCTTCCCAGGAGATTGACAGTTCCTGATACCACCACCAGTGTCACCTAGATAATCTACTTCAGACATTTAATGTAGGTATTCACACGGTAGATTAACCAGGAGCTTCCATAGCTTATACACTGATATCCAGCTTGCTGCATAAGTATTCCTCCATGAAAATGAATCTAAAGAGTTAGAGAAATGAAAGCTCTTATTTGCAAAACTCATCTAATATGTTCAGATACAATTTATATTTCTTTACCCTGAACTGCATCTCTGCTGTGGAAAAAAAAAAAATTGGAAAAGAAATACCACCCACCCACCTACTGTCCTAATATTTCTTTCATGTCAACAGCCACCCTCTAAACATTAACCCAGTACAAATCAATGAACTACTATTGTGTGCCCACAGATTCAGGAAAACAGCACCAGGGAATCCAGGTGGTTTCCCAGCTGATATCCAGGGTTGAGGGCAGTAAAAGAGACCAGAATAGAGACCGCTCCCCACATTCCCTCCCTCCTGTGTTTCTGGTAAAAGTTTAGCAAGACAATGTAAGCAAGCTGAGGAAGCTGCAAGCTTTGGAAGAAGCACTACAGACATCACTTTGCTACTGCTGATAGCTTCGCTTCTCCATAGCACTTTGATGCTGATTTGTTCCATCTCCCTTTTTTTATAGCTACAAATATGAAATAGTCTGAGTGTTTCCTCCATCTTTCACAACAAGGCACTTTGATATGTACATCTAACCAAACTACACGTGCATAACCAACAGATTTTAATTGTCTGTGGAGAAATGAGCAAAATTCATCCTTCACTTACATTGCTGCTGTCTTTGGAATGTTAAATGCCTTCACCATTTTCAGTAATTCCAGGAACTCATCTAAGGAAATTACATTTGGGTGCTGGAACAGTTAGGGCCCAAAACTGATGGGATCTTTCACCCTATTCCAACAGCTTTTGTAAATGGGAAATCAAGCATCTTTTGGAGAATATCTGTTGGTCAAGAACTGAAGGGATATCTTACATTATTACTTCTACTTCACAGAAGAGGATCACTTCTGCTATCACTTTTTCTAGCCACAAAACCCTTTGCTATATTCCAAAAGAGCAGTGAAACCACTTATGACTTAAAAATAATAATAATTTAAAAAAACAAACATGGATTGATACCATATTTTGGAAGTGCTGTTGAGGATAAAATGTTCCTTGGTTTACAATACAAATACTGTTACTAAATACAGAAATAAAGACAGGCTAGTTAGTGGGAATGCAGATATATTAAGACCTTGCAAGGTAAAAGCATAACTTGAGGAGGCTAATACATTTAAAGTGGAGAACTGAAAACAAATGTCTACACAACAAAACCCTTAGAGATGTCCCAAAAATATGCAATGAGCATTTTAATAAATAAAATGAAAAGTGCCATGATTATAGAGGGGAAAAAAAATACGGTAGTAAACAAAGAAGGAAAAAAACCTATCAGGCTTGGTGGTTTGAATTCAATTGTTCTAAAAAAGGAAAACAGGATAAAAATACAGTAAGCATTAATAAGATTTAGGACACACTGAACTATTCCAATACCTAAAAATTAATCAATCATTTTCCTTGAAAAAAAGATGCAATCTGGACTCCTACATCATCTGGGGTTAAATAAATATGATGAGAGGTAATCTTAAAATGAGAAAGAAATTTGCTACAAGACTACAAGGATAAAATATGGTATGGCAAACATGGAACAACTGGGCTAGAAAAGAATAACTAATTCCTCCAAAAAATATATGAACTTTTATTTTAAACAGCGCTGCCAGCAAATAATAGGTAGATTTGGATGAGACAGAAGTGAAAAGCATTGCAACAAAAGGGGAATAAAGCATAACAACACACAAGTGACCAGTCTCAAAAAATGGCATACTAGAAACCCATGAAATTAAATGTTATGAAATGCAAGATTCCTGTGTGTAGGGACCAATACAATTTGCTTTCAGGTAGTCAGGGCCTGTTATTTGGGGTTATAGACATTCTTTGGTCAACTATAGATTGATGCAGCTCTATGGGACCAAAGGGAAAAAAAAAGGGTGAGGACCAAAGAGGCAAATGCACATTGAGGATCTCTTTGCAACAGAGAGAGATATGAGCACTGTTGCACATGAGCAACAACTTGTCTGGAATACCACACGCAATTCTGAATTCCTGTTTTCAAGAAAAAGAAGTTCGAATTACAAAAACTACAGGAAGGAGCTACTGATCTGAGCAAAGAACTTGTTTTATAAAAGAAAAATTAGTCTTCGTTAGCTTAGCAAAATAAAACTGGAATGAAGATAAATATAAAAACTCATTAAAAAGATAAGCATCAAATAGGGAGAACTATGCCAACATTGTACCTCAGTTTAAGTCCAACAAATGAACATGAACAAGAAAAATAAAGCATGTAGAAATCATTGTCACTCACAGATTCTCAATTGTGCACATAGTAAAGAGTATGGAGGGACATTTTCTGCACCATCTTTTTTACTTGACAACAGCATGGCCTTAAGTTTTAAATAATAGGTTAGAAACAGGAGAGTCAAGAAACCTTGTATGTTGTCTTCCAAGAAATTATTTTCTTACAGCCTATTTTCCAATGTAATGTTTATTGCAAAACATATCACTACATTTTCCTTGCAGACCAAATGACAACAAACAACAACAAGCCAATATGAAGAAGAGACTCTGAGATTTCTGAAGATGCCTGGTAACTACCTATCTTTTAATTACTTTTCCAAATTTTATAGCTGCCCCTGTCTGACTTTACCAAGACTACACCAATGAAGCAGTTGGGAAGACAACAACCCAAGTTTTGAGAACTTGTATTCATTATATATTTCTGACTAGACTATTCCAGACTCCTGCAAAGAACCACTAATTCTGGCTGAAGTACAGTCACAATTCCATTTACCCTCCAAGAAGCTTATGCAGCAATACCAATTAGGTAGATCAGCTCCGTGACTTTAACCTCAAAAAATATTAGGTATTGCTGTTCTGCTTTGCCTCCTTAAAAAAACCAAGCAAACAAACAAAAAAAAATAGCAAAAACTGCATTTGTTAAGAGAAAGTTTATATAAAAGGAATATGTCACTTTTTTATTTACAAGGGAGACTACAATACAACTAAAATCAGCTTATTTGGCACACAAACCTTCCAGCCAGTCGAAAAAGGAAGTTCTTGCTGCAGAAAACATTCTCATCACACACTAGAGAGCTGAAAATTGTCACAAGTTGCCAGAATATTTACATGTATGAGGTAGACTATAACAAAGTATCACAAAACACAGCAACTAAGCCACACAAGGCAAGTGTTCTTGTTTGCATACTTCAATGTCTTCTTCTTACAACTCTAAGAAATACCATGGTGTAGTGAGTTTAGTTCGACCTCTTCCCTACTTCCCTTGATTATCAAATGCAAGAACAAAATTGAAGCATGTCCATGACCGTCCCACCTCACTTCCAAAGTTGCGAGCTCATCTCCCAGGCTTTCCCAGAAATTCCAGAATATCATTTCCTCATACATCCTGTATGCTGATAAGAGTGGAATAGACTGGAAGGACATATGTAGCTGAACACACGCAACCACTGCACGGCTTCCAGAACCCCACAGCTCTGTTCTGGTCAGCACAAGAAAATTAAATCTATGCAAACATTTCAAGCACTCAGATTCTTTGATCCCACAGGAAAACTCTTAAAAAAATCTTATTCTGGTTCAAGGAAACTCAAATGGCTTCCAACTCATCAGCTACGGCACACACACACGGCTCTTGTATTGCTTCAGCTGGTGACATTTCTGTACCCCACACTGTCAGTTTCTGAAAAATGTGTGACAATAACACACACAAATGCCTTCACATTCCTATGATAGTTCAGAAGCCAAATGTTGACAATTTTTTAGGTGTCATTTGTGCACCAGTAAGAGTTGATCAGTTACCAAAGGCTGCTACATGTTGCAACAGAAGCCTCCTCCTGTTCAATGCTAAATTCTATCCTATCCTGTACAATAATTTGTTTAAAAACACCACTCTTCAGTTTAGCATTCACTGCTCAGTCCACATTGAAAAATAATTAATGTAAGTAGGGATCAAAGCGTATTTTGAAAAAACATGATGGGAAACTGGTACAGCATGACTTCCAAATCAGCTGATTCACTATTTCGTACTCCCAGGCACTAAAATTCAGATGTTTGGGGTCACACTGGAATGCAACAGGAAGGTAAACTACAGGTGAATGTTAGTTGAGATTGGTGATGCGATAGATGGAGTATCAAAGATCCCATGAAAGATTTCTTTTCCTGTCTAAGGAAACTTTCCTTCTTAGTAATTCCCACGAAAGTTTCAAGAAAAAAAAAAAATGGGCAGGGGAGCATTAACTGTTTTCTTCCAAACATACAATAAAAGCCCTGAACTGTAAGCTCTTGCCAAAGGTTGCTGGCATATTGCAAAATTTCAAAGGGCATGGATTACTGCCCTCTTGTTACAGGCATTAATCAAAAACTACTGTCATGCAAACTACCCCACAGCAAAGATAATTAAATCCCAAACCTTTCTATGTGCAAAGAGAACTTGCCAAAGTACATCAAAATTCCTTTGCTGTAATCTGACAAAACCCATACTGTCGTGACAAAATTTAAGGGTTTCTTATAACATACTCCAAAAATTACAGAACACGGTAAAACACCTGAAGCTGAGTATCCTTTCCAAAGATACTCATTTACCTCACTGCACCACTGTTAAGAGTCTTCACGTTAAGACTACATGAAACTATCTACATCTGTTCATTACCGATCATGGTGTAAAAAAAATTAAATCTCAAGTGGCTTTTCTCTGATGCAACAAGAAAAAAAACTAAGTGCTGAAGTGGCAGAAGTTTCTAAAGATCATCTTAAAGCTTTCCATGGACATGGTAGCAAAAATTTTATAACTTAAGCACATTAAAAGGCTGATCCCAAGGCATAAGGTGTGTATGCTACATATGCAAAGACTGCAGCCAATATATACAGAAAAACTAATAAAACCTTATTCTCCTTCTAAGTAACTCTTCAGTTAATAAACATTTATCACCCCAATTTTTTTTTGGTCCTTAATAGAGCTAAACGAGTAACTTGGAAGCATGTAAGGAATTATTCAGCAACAAGTGCCCAAAGGGGTTCTTATCCTAAAGGTCCCTCGCCTGCCTGTTTATCTGTGTTTTTCTGGTTTGCTTCCAAATTTCATCAAAGCCAAGTAAACAAGTGGCCTATGACTATCTAGGTCTCCCCACAGCGCAAAGTTTAACTTAAATCTACAGTTCCAAACATTCTTAATATTTAATAAATGTTACCTGGTGTGAGGTTAAATTGGCTGTCAAAGCAAACTGCGAGCATCACCATCACCTTTTCACACATATATATGAAGCCAGCAATAACTTAAAACGCTCAGGTTCCCTTTTTTTAAAAGTAGAACCTCCCTTTGAGGCACACACTGCACGCAAAAGCCTATTTTTATTGCTACGTGTAGGCGTATAACCCTTTTCCTTGCTTTGCTTACCGAAGAGCCAAAGGACTTTAACCAGCACTTCTCACCTCGGCACAACAAACCCTGGGGGCGCAGCCTAAATTCTTTCGGCCTTAGCTTTTCTCCTCTCTCGGGCCTGGCGCAGGGAAAGGGCGAACGTCACTTACGGCAGGAGTTTGGGAGCGATGCTCAAACACAGCACGGGCTCCGGAGAGCCCCTCGCCCGGCGGCGCCGGGATTCCAAGGAGAACGCTTTGGGGGCGGGGAACGCGCTTTACGCCACCCCCCCGGCGGGGGAACCCCGGCCCGGCACCGCGCCCCGCGCCCCGCCACGGCTCCGGGGGCCGCTCCGCCCCCTCCGCCCGCCCCCTCCCGCCTGCAGCGGGGCGAGGCCCGCTACCCCGAGCGGCGGCTGTCCGGGGGGCAGTCCCGGCCCGCGGTGTCCCGGTATCCCGGCTGTCCCGGTGTCCCGGCCCTCACCGCTGGCGCCGCTCCCTCCGCGCTCGCAGGGCCGCGCTGTGGGCCCGGCTGCCTCCCAGCGCTTCCGCCCGGGCGCGCGCCGCTTCCGGCCCCGCCCCCGCCGCGCTCCCGGCATGCCGCGCGGGCGGAGCGGTGCATGCTGGGGCGCGTAGTTTCCCGGGGGGGCAGGGCTCGGCCTGCCGTGTCGGGGCCTGGCGGTGCTGTTGGACAGCGGCTGATCGTGAGCCGGCCTGTGCCCAGGCGGCCGGGAATGCCAGGCACATCCCGGCCTGTACCGGGAATAGCGTGTCCAGCGGGACCAGGGCAGTGATAGTCCCCCTGTACTCGGCGAGGGTGAGGCCACACTTCGAGCGCTGTGTCCTGTTCTGGACCACTCATTTCACACTGTGGTGCTGGAGCGAGTCCAGAGAAGGGCAACGAAGCTGGTGAAGGGTCTGGAGCACAAGTCTTTTGAGGAGCGGCTGAGGTAGCTTAGCCTGGAGAAAAGGAGGCTCAGGGTTGACCTCATCGCTCTCTACAACTCCCTGAAAGGATGCTGTAGCCAAGTGGGGTTTGGTTACAAGCAATAGCACAATAAGAGACAGCCTCAAATTGCACCAGGGGAGGATTAGATGGGATATTAGGAAAAATTTCTCCACAGAAAGGGCGATTAGGTGTTGGAATGGGCTGCCCAGGGAGGTCCCCGGAGGTGTTTAAGAAGAGGCTGGATGTGGCACTTAGTGCCATGGTCTAGCGGACAAGGTGGTGTTGGTCAGAGGCTGGACTCGATGTTGGGGGGTCCTTTCCAGCCTGACTGACCCTGGGATTCCGGCGATGCCGCCGCGGGGCCGGGCGGGCCCTTCGTGCGGCCGGAACCAAAGCGCGGCGGGTGGGCGGCGCGGCGGGGCTGTGGGGCTGTGGGTGCGGCGCGCTCCGCCCCGCTCCGCGCTGTGCCGGGCGGCCGCGGCCCCGCCATGTCCGCGCTGCTGCTGCTGCTCCGGGCCGGCCCCGCCGCCCCCGCCGCCGCTCGCCGGGGCTCCGCATGGCTCCGGGGCGCTGCGCACCGCGGGCTCCCGGCCGCCCGCCGCTGCCGGGCCGCCCTGCCCGCCGCCGGGCCCCAGCAGGTTGGGTGTGATGTGGGGACCAGGGGGAGGAGCGGGGCCCTGGGGCTCGCGGCTTTGTGCTTACGGAAAGTGTGGGTCTGAGAAGGGAAGCGAGGGGGCACTCGGGACGTACCCGAGATCAACCCCTCTGTTGTGCTCTGGTGAGACCCAGCTGAAGTGCTGCGTCCCCAGCACAGGAGGGACATGGACCTGATGGAGCCAGTCCACAGGAGGGCCGCCAAGATGATTAGAGGGATGGAGCACCTCTCCTACGAGGAAAGACTGGGAGAATTGGGTTTGTACAGCGTGAAAAAGAGCAGACTTAGGGGTGCCCTAATTGCAGCCTTCCAGTACTTGAAGGGAGCCTACAGGAAAGATGGAGAGGGACTTTTTACAGGTGCATGTAGTGACAGGACGAGGGACAATGAGTTCAAACTGAAAGAGGATAGATTTAGATTAGATATTAGGAAGAAATTCTTTTCTGTGAGGATGGTGAGGCACTGAAACGGGTTGCCCAGAGAAGTTGTGGATGCCCCATCCTTGAAAGTGTTCAAGGACAAGTTGAATGGAGCTCTGAGCAACCTGGCCTAGTGGAATGTGTCCCTGCCCGTGGCAGGGGGCTTGGAACTACATCATCTTTGAGGTGCCTTCCAACCCAAACCATTCCATGATTCTGTGCTCAGAGACCTGGCGAGTGTGTGTGCCATGAATATCTCCCTGCAAAGCCATGTGTCAGTTGATTGCAGGCTGAGTTTTTGGCACTGGGGTTGCATACATTTAGTGCTAACTTGGGATATTTACATGTAAGATGATTAAAATAGTTGAGAGTTGCGGGAAGCTTTGTAGAGTAACCTAACTTTAATCCCCAGTCTAAGATGCTGGGAATGGGTTCAGGGCAAGGAGAAATTTGCATGTGTATATAGAGGTATACAGACATATATATGTGTGTATATATATATATATATATATATATACAGATAAAGTGTAGTACTGATGTTGCTTGGCCATGTACTACTTTTATCTTCCAGGTTACGTCTTTTCAAGGAGTCGCTGTTCGCAGCCTCAGCACATCCTCCCCTCACGAACACCCAGAACACGGAAGATTAGTTTATAAAGGAAATTTGGCAAAGACAGTGTTAGGTATGTGACTTGAAGTGCTGTGTATTGCCTTCATTTTGTTTGTTTTAACAGGGTTTAGTAACTGCCTGTGAAGTAAGAATTTCATAGTCATGCATGACAGGTGGTAGTGACTGCATCAGAAATAGAGCCAGCGACCAGCTTTGATAAACCCATCATGAATGCTCTGTGAAACATCAACATATAAACAAATCAGAATGGTGGCAATGAGACAGGGCTGAGTTTTCAAGAGTTTCTCTGTGACCTTAAAAAAAAAAGGGAAGGGGGTTTTCAGTAACTTCATCTGTTCAAGTAATGCCATTGTTATATGGTAGCAGACCATATGTAATTGTAGAGAAAATTGTCCTCGTAAGTGTTAACCTTTGTTTTCTTTTTGTTCTGTTTTTATGTAGGTGTGAGGTTTTTCTCTTACTCCACCAGCGTATTCAACCTGCTCATGATGCCCTACATCATGCTCAAAAGCGGTATTGGAGTGGAAAGTCTGCTTATCCAGGCTGCCTTTTATGGGGTGATCGGGTTTTTTACGTTTGTAACTCCGATAACTCTGCATGTCCTTACAAAAGGTTACGTGATCCGGCTCTATTACAAAGATGAAAAGGACACCTATACAGCCATTACCTACAATGCCATCTTGGCAGAAAAAGCGACTGTTTTCCATCAGAAAGATGTAAAGATTCCAGACATCACCAAGATGTTTACAACATTTTACGCTAAAACAAAATCAATGCTTGTTAATCCGACACTTTTTCCGAATCCTCAGGACTATAACCATCTCATGGGCTATGACAAATCACCCCCTTTTAAGTTCGAGGAGTTAAAGGAAGCTGATGAAAGGAAATAATTTGAAGATAATGAACATCAGTATCATTGTTCTTAATGCAGTGCTATGTATGTAAAAGAACGTAAAATTCTATTACAGTTTCTTAAGTCAGGTAGCTGGAGTTTTCCAAATGCATTTTGGAATGTATTAAAAGGACACTTTTTTAAAATATTATAAACAATGTGACGGTTTCTTCAGAGTTAATGACATAAAATGTAGTAAAAAAAGGGTGCTTAGGTCTGTCTTGCACTTGTTTATTCTTGGCTTGATTTTTATTGTTGGCTCTCCAGAGAACTGTAAAATGCATGGGCTGTGGGGCAGTGTCAGCATCTCCGTGTCAAAGGAAACCATCCTTGAGAGAAAAATGGTCAGTAGTCATTAGCTATGAAGTATGTAGTTAATCTCTTAAGCCTTAGTCATTGTACTTAATCTAAAAGTATCAGGCTTTTTGTCAATGCTGTTGGTGGTGTAAAGGGAGTGGAGATGGCTTTTCCTTTCCTTTGCGAGACCTTTGAGGAGTCTTTGGAAAGCAGACAGGTATTCTTGCTAATTCCTGCTACAGCCTCCTCCTGGAGGAGAGAAGATAGGGAGAATGGCTGCATCACAGTAATCTCTGGCTGCTCACAGCTACTAAATGGTTTCTTAAGGTGGAGTCCCACTCCAAGCAACCCTGTCCCCAGAGGTGGAGAGCAAGAAGCCTCTCTTTGGTTGGGCTTGGGAAAACACCTTGGCATAAGGTTTGCTCTGGGAATGTGCCATTGAGAACAGCTGCTGCATTTGAACTGGCTCAAATAAAATTCTAGCAGCTAGTGGTGAAATGGTATTCTGTCAGCATTTATGTAAGGTGGGGAAGCAAAACAGAGTATCCTGTAGAATACTGTTTAGATCTTGTGCCTTTAAAAAACTTACGTCTTGATTTTCAGTACTGCAAAGAAGGCCGCCTCTAGTTCAGCTGAACAGAGGATCAGATCTTTTAGAAGTTGGATTTAAATTTTTTAGCCCAAGGCACATAAACTGACAGACACTTGTTTTCAAATAATGAAAGGCCTAAATATTTTTAGACTTAAAAATTACTGAATTAAAAAAAAATACCAAGAATTCAAATTAATCCTTTTGTGTTAGCAGTGCCTTTTGTAGTAAGAAAATCTGATGTTTGGTACTAATTAAGGTATCCTGATACTACAAACAAAGAGAAAGTTATTATAGTTACTATTCAAGATGCTCCCTAAGTTCTAGCTGAAAATATATGTTTAAAAGTCTAAATGTCTTCCAGTGCGATTTTTTCAATTTTGTGTCGTAGGATGACACTACAGATGATATTAAATCACTGTTTCTGAATGTTGTTTTTCTGACTGTTGAAATTGCCCTCAGTGTAGTTGCTGAGTGATTAAAAAGCAAATCATCCCATCACAATATTTTTGAGGCAGTTCTTTGTGTTGACACAGCCATAATTGTAAAAGCCTGATTGAGCCCCATTAAACCAGTATCATTTCGTAGGTAGCAATAATATAAAAATAAAATTTTCATAGATTATGTGGAACCTTTGAGGTCAGTAACAGGCAATTCTGATCACCTGATTGTACTACTTATGGAAATGATGCTTTGCATCTAATTAAAAATACTCTTTCCAAGTCTGATGCATTCACCCGTTTCTTTTGGTGCAGGGAGAACAGGAAATAGCATTTGCAGGAGAAGGTAAAAGAAAGGCCCCAAAATTGTATTTATGTACCCCTTAGGCAGTATCTTCTTACTGAAGAAAGTTTGAATTGTTAAATTTGAGATTTGTCCAATTCAGATTTAAGCAGCAATAGTAAGATATCTCCATTCCACTGGCTAAGTTTCTCAAAAAAAATATGGAAGATAAATATTATTTCTTCTGCTTGTGTTCTGGCAGTGAAGTGCAAGTTAAGCTAGTAGGTGGCTTTCCCACACACAGAGGATTAAAAATAATATTAAAAAGTCCAGAATTCTGCCAGAAGATAACTTATACAACCTCAGAAAAATACTTCATACTTCCAAAGTGCAACTTGAAAATAATATATTAGTATGTTTTTTCTTTTTATGTTAAGAAAAGAGAAGACCAATCTTACTGAAGATAGACAATATTCTGTTTCTGCGTTGTTTGCTGCTACACTTACGGTGTGTACTCAGAATCATAGAATCATTTATGCTGGAAAAGACCTTTAAGGTCATCAGCTCCAAATATTAACCCAGCGCAGCCCAAATCCACCACGAAGCCATGTCCCTAAGTCCCACATCTGCATGGCTTAATACCTCCAGGGATGGTGACTCAGCCTTTTCCAGTGCTTGACAACCCTTTCAGTGCAGAAAGTTTTCATATTGCCCAATCTAAACGTACCCTGGTTCACCTTCAGGTTGTTTCCCCTTGTCCTGACACTTCTGACTTGGGAGAAGAGACCGACCTTCACCTGCCTACAACCTCATCTCAGGCAGTTGCAGAGGGCTATGAGGTCCCTCCTCTGCCCCAGACTAAACAATCCCAGCTCCCTCAGTCTCCCCCCGTGCTCCGGACTGTTCACCAGCTCTTTGCCCTTTGTTGTGGAAATATTACTACCTACTAGCATTTTCTTCCCTGGAAGTCGCTGGTATTTCTTTGGTTGTAGGTAACTTGTGAACAATATGGAAGAAACAGTTTGTAAGATCTGGAGAATGTGCTCATACCTGGAGATTCTGAAGGAAATACTGATGGAAGTGCAGTTTTCTGAAATACCTGATTTACAAACTGCCTTATTTGCAAGGCAACACCTACGAGGAAGGCTGCTGGCTCCTGCAGCCTTTCCAGGGCTAACCAATCACTTGCCTATAGGAGTTGGGGTGTCGTGTCTTGCCCTGGTACCAGTTTCACTTAATCTGGCATAAAGAGCAGGAATGTATGAAATACCTCAAGCCTCTTTCCTAAACACGTTTCCTATCGCTTTCCAGCCTTAAAAGCTTCCACGAAAGTTCATAGATGACTGATTTTTTTTTCCCCTGGGAAAATAGTCACGATATATGCAAATTTTTCTTTTCAGTCTTTGACTACGTGCTATTTTCTTGCTGGTGACCCTCTCCATTTTTCTCAAGTTTTTGGCTTTGTCCACATTATTATTCATTAGTCCCTATCTGTTCTTAATTATGAAGTACAAAGCTTCTTGTCACTCTTTAAAGTTATTTTTTAAACTGAATTATCCCACAACCCTCATCCTTTTCTTGCAAATATAAAAAATTTTGATGAGAAAATTATCCCTTCTTGATCCTTCAAAGAGAAATCTTTATAGCTGAGGTATTTCACACTCTTAATCACACTCTGAAGAAATAAAAGGTAACTAATTTGACTGGAGCTTGCTTTATTACAAACCACAGTCATCACACTGGCAAAGACGAGGAAAATCTGTAGATTTTTGCGTGGCACCGTGAGGGCCTAATTTAGGTGATGGAAACTTCATGAAAATCTCTTTGTGCTGTTAAAAGAGAGCACAAAGTATTAAGAGCAGACGTGAACTATTACAATTGCTCAGTATAACTTAATAGATGGAAACTTGGTAAGCTGCTGTAATTTGGTTGCTCTGAAGTTCCGTGGTCATACCACAAATTTCTTCATGCTTCATACCATGGATTTCTTCATGCCCCCACGTACAGCACAGCCTGCTGCAGCCTGCCTGAGAACTGGGACAAGTGTGCTAGCTAGGAGCTGGATCCACTATAATAAGATTATCCCAGAGCTACACAGACCTCAGCAAGCAGCTATTTTAAGCAGGGAATAACAGAGAACAAGAGCAAACAGCCGCAAAATATGTCCAGCTGTCTCCATTTCTGGAATTCCAGGGTGGACAGTGTTGCTATGGTGTGCTTGCTGTCAGCCTCAGGTAGGACACATCCCTTTCTTCTCCCTTCACCCTCTACTTTCTCTTCTTTTTGACAACTTTAATAGTTTAATGAATACTTCAGAGTATAACTATGAGCTTTAATCCTAAACTTGGCTTGGAAAAAACAAACCAAAAGCCTAATGGCAAGAGGCAGTGAGTTATTTCCAACATAATTGTTTCCACAGGATACCACCTGGTATGTATTTGCTCCACTTTAATAGTCTCCAGTGGTTTAATGTGATATATTCAAATCAAACCACTAAGCCAAAGTGCATACAAGACTTAAAAAAAAATATATTCAGAATAATGCACAGCACTTTTTCTATCTTTCAACAACTACTTGGATTTCTTATTCAAGTGCTACCAACTCACCACTGGATACGTGCTAGTGCACTGCTCTTGGAGCGGACTCTCCTGGCTCTCTCAAGCACTTCATCAGCTGCATGTAGAGGAGATGAAACCTCTACCCATTTCTTCTATCCTTGGGCATGACTCTAAACATTGTCAAAGATAGGTTGAGAGGATTTGAGAAGAGAGTCTACAGTTTTCTATTCTTCATGTTGATAGTTGAGGGTGGTTTTGTTCTGTGAATGAGTGCCTTATGCCTTATGTATAGCCCCTTTATGTTGGAGTGCCTTCTGCATCAACCCTAAAGCCAGAATCAGAAGGTATAAACATGTCTACTTCCAGATGCAAAAAGATCTACTTCAAAAACTTTCACAAATGGTCCTGCAAGGAAAATTAAGTTATTACTGCCTCTTTCTTTATAGAATAAATGTGGTTAACATCTTAAAAGAGTTTTCCATTAAAGTGATGTTTTATTACAAGCCAAGAACTAGGACATAATCTTTAATTCTGTCTAACCAACACTTTCAGATGGAGTACTTTCCTCTGCTATACTGGTGTACTGTTATTTATTTTTCTGTGATGGGATTTTATGATCATACATATTATAAATCTTTCCCGAGGAAGATTTCAGTGACTTACAGGTGTTTATCTGGTCAAACTACTCATCAGCAGTCAACGATACAGAGTGATAATTTTGAAAAGCAATAACAAGTAAGTTAAGCACTTTTTAAATGTATCGAGAAAGAAGATAAAAATATCATTAATTATTTTAAGGATTTTAACTAAAAATCAGTGAGAAGGCCTGGAATAAACTTCTACTTTCAATATCTCAGATGTAGAGAAATTAAAAGTCATTGTTATAAAATCCTAAATTCTCTAGACTTGGATTTATTTTATGTACTGTTAATTGGATGTCAGAGTTGGCCCCTACTGAATATTCTTGCAAAGGATTTCAAAATAACTGAAGTAAGTTGTCACAAAACCTTAGGGAAGTAACATTATTGTGTAGCTCTTTCCACTTCCCTTACTCTCCTTTTCACCTTCCTTCTGGATCAGTGTATGTAAGAGAAAGATACAGTAAAGAAAGAGCTTTTAGTAAAATCAAAATATGTAGAACTTTATATCCTTCTCCTATAACCTTCATATTGACTCGAAAGGGACGGAACAGACTCTTCACATCACAGTGCACTGGTTTGGAGTTTTAGTGAGCATCACAAGAGGTCACTTCTATGAATAGCATCAATAGGGGACATCAAAAGCCACAAGAAGATAAAAATGAATTTGATGAAAAGATTTTAAAATTACGGAGGTTATTTTGATTTAATGACAATTTGACCAGACACATTGATCACGGTTGTTTGCTTTATAATCATGATCATCAGGGATACTTTAGCACTGACACCAGTAGCAATTATTGTTCCTGTCTTCCCATTTGGACAGCCAGATCCTTTTAAAACGTATCTTCCTTAGTTGATTTTTTTAAGCATTGTAATAGTCTTGACTTGTATAATAAAAGTGCAATAAGGAAGGAGCAGAAGAGGGTACAGAGGTTTCCCCATGTGTCTGTCTGTCTGAACCACCAGGGGGGACTAATTCCTCATCTATATCTTTACTGCAGCAAGTATCTGAAAAAAACAGCTTGATCCAGGTCTAGAAAGTCACTGAGTTCAGCAGAGAGGTTGTCTTCGTTTACATTAAGAGAGCTTTTATCTATAATCTTGTAAATTTGCATTGCTCTTTCTGGTCTGTGCAGCAACTCCAGCACAAGGCTGGCCACAGAGGGACACACGTTCAGCTGCATGATCGAGTCTATCGGTAGGGTACAGTCAGTGCCATCTCATGCCTTCTTCAGACTGGCCTGTGACTTGTGCTGTCTCATGGACTGACAGAAGTCTCAGCAGAGAGCCTGGCTTGGCTTCTTACTGCTTAAACTCACTCCATACCAGTGACCACGGCTTGGTGATTGAAAGGAATATTTTTTTGACTGTATGTACACAAGGCATCTCTTCTTTAGTGGCTGCCTAATCACTCCTTTGTGGCTGTCTCACTACTCCATTTCTTCTTTCCAGCTTTTACAGCCTTCCTGATTTATTTCAATTTCACTGCATATCTTACTATTTTTAAGCAAGATTTGGCCATCTTGAAACAAAATTGTGTTATTGCTATGATCATAGAGGGTTTATATGCCTTATAGTATCCTGTTAAGCAACAGCAAAAATCCACGTGTGACGTATGTACTCTGGAGATCTGTTAGGAAAGTTGTATAATTCTGAATTTCTACTTAAAAGCCAAATGCTAGAAGTTTGGAAATACTGAGGAGAATTCTCCAGCAACATTAAATTTTCAATTTTTTAGTTTGTGAATTATTACATGTATTAACTCATTAGTTGGTACTTTCAGGCACTTGTAATTGAATTCTCACCTTCTTTAACTAGTATGGGAACTCCCCCCATCTTCTGGGCACAATCAGTCGTGGTTTTGAACATGTCATTATTCCAAAATTATCTTTTGTGTTCCATGCTCAGACTTCTGAAAACCAATTTCTTAATAATTTGCTAGTTTATACTATGTAAAATATTACTCTTGTATACACAGAATTTGTAAGAATAAAAGCTTTTAATCACTGTGAAGGGAAGTGGGAAGAGTCAGAACAATTGATTAAGTTATATTTGTTGTAATTTTTATTGAGTTTCCTGCTTAACACAAACGTAAATACCTGTCTATTTTATATACTGCTTCTTTAAAAAAAAAAAAAACAAAAAACAAACCACAACCAACAATTCCTGATCTAAGAGGAGCCTGTAGATGTACATAAAAATCAAGAAGGTAACTTGTGAAAAATAATTTGATTAATTTCTGTAAGTAATTCTCCCATAAATTCAGTAGGCTTCCATATTTTATTCTAGTGAGAAATTAAATTTAATTGTGTTTCCTGTCAATTACATGGTGATTGTGCTCTCTTGATGAGTTATTAGCTAATGAGTTAATAGCTTTTATTTGATCTGTTTCTGTAGCTGGTTGTGTCAGGTTTGTGCAGTAAGTGCTGACCATTTTGGTCCATGTAATTGATATAACAGATACAGGCAAATATGTCATTCTTTGTGTAATGCACTAACAGACATAAATAAGGGAATGTATCTAAAGTGCTTTAAGAGTTTTGTTTTGGTGTCTCAAACTTGGGTATCAAAATCTGCAACCTGGAATGTTTTCAGCATCCCAGGATAAAATCGGGTGTAATCTATCTTCAGTTGTGACAGGTAGATTCTGTGTTCTTACTGTAACATCCCAATCAAAATTTGACTGCTTTTGTTAATAACTGACTAATGGTTGGGGTCCACCTCAACCCAGCCTTTGCATGGCTCTGTGTTCTTGGGCAAACCATGCAGTGCTGCTTCTCCAACAGAGACTGTGGGGAAGTGTGGGAGAAGGTCACAGAGAGTCTCTGGTAGGCAGATGTGGGAATTATTGGTTGTAATTTCATGAATTTTTAAGTTTTCCCTCCCTGAGAAGCATAACTGTGATAGATACAGCTTTGAGGGTGGTAGCTGTCATCATGCAGGACACCAGTGGCTCTACTCAGTACCATGTCAGATGGTTGCATTCAGCTCCATTAGGAAATACATCATCTAATTACACTCCTCCAGATTTCTGGTGTGGTCTTAAAGCACTGTGAGCTTTGTGAGAAATTTATTATGAAAGGTAATGAGAGTTACTGACTACGTATTGGTAAAAGAGTGGACTTGGTTTTCATCATTTGTGGATTTTTCTCTTCTTTAATAGGTACAGAAAACTCTGTGTTTGAAATTACGCCTTTAAAAATGTTACGCCTGATGAGTCAACTATACTTGCCGTTTACGTACTTCTGGTAATCACATTTTTACTTCACTTCCCCATTTCACACAGTTTTCTCTTTCACTGTTCACTCGTGGCTTGAGCTGCGTTGTACGGGGAAAATATAGCAACAAAAGCAGAAATTCTTTTTCTTCACAAAATTATTGTGATGATAACTGATGGTGCTGCAGTAGGATTAATTAAGATCGCAGAGAATCTGAAAAATAACTGAACTTTTCCTGAAGACGTGTGACTGAGGATGACTGTGCTGAATTTTGTTCCTCTTTCCTCGAAACAAAGTTTTAATCTGTCAGATACTGAACAAAAAAAAGTAATTATGTTTGGACTTATTTTTTTCACTTTATTCACCTCTGGAGTCAGTGAATTTCTTTGTGCATCGTCAGATCTTGAAATATCATATACTTTTTGTGGTAAGTAAAATATAGCTATTTCTTTGTCTAAGTTTACATGATAATTACTGTAGACTGAGGAAATGCAAATTTTCTTTCAAATTTCTTTCTTTGATGAATACAGAAAAACACAAAGAAGTTCAGCTCAAGTCTATTTCTGTTGTTAATTACCATATTACAAGAATTATATTTCATAGACGTAAATATTACCACAGTGCTGGTTCTAGCAGCTCAGACAGAGAATTTTATCCTCAAGTAAAGCAGGCGTGTTCAGGAAATACTAGAAGATAATGAATTTAAACTTATTTTTCTCTCTTGTATAAATTATGCAAATTGATTTAACAAATATAATACAATGAAAAGGTTGAAGTATATGTAAAAGAAGAGGGAATGTGATATTCTGGCTGGCTAGAGTATCAGATTTTGGGACAGCATAGTGTGTCCCTTCTTGCCATGTCTGTGTCATGGGCTGATATTTTGCATATTCTAAAAATGCTAGGTGGGTCACTCATAGAGCAAATCTACTCAAAGGTTCATCTACCTTATCTTAGAAAATATGCTGGTACATTAAAGACATTTTTAGCTGTTGTCAGCAAGTTTATATAGGTTCCATGGTTAGCATAAGTAGGGATATTTTCAACAGAGGACCATGCTGGCTTAATGCTGCTAAAATTTTTACGTATCTTCAAAAGACAAATGAAGGCACTTTTGCCTGGATTTTGTGTGCAAAATATCATCAACCAAAAAACTGAGTTTTCTTGTTACTTAAAGAAATACTATTTTGGTTTTGCCCCCTAAGCAAATAAATAATTAATAATAAAATTTAAAATGCATCTTTAGTATTTACTACAAATATTAGACAATTTTATATATTGTCTAATATTTTTAATATTGTCTAAGGCATATATATTGTACATTAAATACATTTTAAAATGTGTGTTTATTGTGAGTGTGTATATATGTATATTTTTATCATTTTCATGGAGAAACCTATTCACACTATCAATATGAAATATTGTTTTCCTATAGATTCTACAGCTCATGCTTTCATGTTTAATTTGACACCTTGCAGCATCATGAAAACAGATGTCTGGAAGGCTACTATTAACTGGATTCCAAGTGAGTCTCTCTTAACTAGACAATTATAATCTGGAAATGCAGAAAATCAAGTACAAGTGAAAAGCTGCCGCTTCATCCAAAATGCCAGATGATTTAGGAAATCAGTTTCTGTGACTGAAAATGGAATGGATAAACTTGGATAATTATGGCCAGAAATGATGATCTGTGAAAATAAGTGTGTTTGAGTTTTACTTGTTGGAGCAGTTACCAGAGCCCTGCATGGGGTCTGGCACTCTGTGTGCAAATCTGAGGTGGTTTCGGTGCATGTGCATTTGTCTGGGAGAAGCAGACAAGGTTTGCTGCACACAAGCTCTTCTGGCCTGAAGAAGTCCCAAGTCTTTCTAAGGAGAGAGAATATCATTAGGCCATCCAAATATGGCAGAACTTCTGTGAAGAAAACGTGTTTTCCAGAGGCTGGATACAGTACTATATTGTGTGTTTGAACCCAACTGTAATCTTTAAACCTAGCTTTAGGCTGGCAAGCTGAGTTAATTAAATGTTTATGAAATGGCTGTATCATAAACTTCACCTTCTGAATAAAAACTCTGGAGATGGACTAGGTTTGCTTCACTAGAAAGATACCTCTATGATGGCTACCAGCATTCAGGACATGCAACATGTACCTAAAACTAAAGCCTTCATCTGAGCATCTGTTTAAGTTAGCTGTGCTGCTCTCTTTGCTGAAGAAATTATTTGCTCAAATATTTTTAAGATTTTTTTTTGTTTTTTTTTGAAAACTAGCTGGTTTTGACTTTTTTTTTCTGGAGTGGCAGTTTTCAAGATACATATTTTTTGCCAGTTTTGGGAGGAGTCTTTAAAAAATGTTGTATTTCAGAGAAAAATATTTTTTTCTATGTAGCATGTCTGCATATATGTTTTTTGTCCCTGCCAGATACCATGTCCTTACTTGCAATGTTTTAACTAGGAAGTGACATCACCTTTTTGAAGATTGTCTTCCATGTCTGGTACGACGGTGCCAGAGTGCTTCACTGGAAACAGCTCCTGTGCAGCGGAACTGACGATGAATACTCAGTGTGTAAAATGCTGAAAGGAGGTCGGTGTGCCATCCACCCATGCAAACAGATTTTTCTCTCCACAATCTAGGCCTTGCTTGGCAGGCAGCAGACTTCAGAGCAGCCAGTTCTCCAGTGCCAAAACCCCATTAAAAGAGAGAATGTCCAAAGTCCGTGTTTTAACATCCTTGTACTGCAGTTTCCATGTTCATAAATGATAATTACTAATATCCTTCATCTCAGTATGGCACTTATGTAACATTTCTAAAATTACATGGAAAAGACTACATTTGACTGGCCTGTACAGAAAACTTGAGAGGCACAATAGGCACTACTAGTATCCAGAACACAGTTTATTTAGGGTTTTTTAAGAAATTCTCTACACCGAGATATAATGCTTAAGCCAAACCTCTAGTAGGGGCTATCCAGCATTAACATGACACAGGCTCAGATCCAGAGAATTCAGGCAGGATGTCAGACTTAAGGCCAAAAAGACCTGTGAGGAGGTCAAAATACACAGTCTGTGTTTTTCTTTCTTTAAAAATCAGTATCAGTTCTCTGTGGAGTTAACACAGTAAGATATGTTTGGAGGAGATGTTGGAGGAGCACTGTGGTTAATTTTTATTTTCTAACGTGAAATTTGACAAACAGTCAGAGCTCTGAGAGAAGAACCAGGTGAGTGCTTTATCAGTGGAAGAGTAAATAACATTGGCAACTGCTGCTGAGAGATATACCATATTGCTTTGAAGTTATTTAGGCAGTCTGATTGATGGCTTTATGGTTAAGTAACCATTTGTATTATAATTATCTCTGTTTTACAGAAACACTTGTAGAAGAATTTGACATTAAAGGTTCAAGAACATCATTTCCAAAGGTACTTTCTGACATTTTATATGAAGAAATAATAATAGTAAAATCACATATTTACAGGTGTATATTTTCTGAAAAGAGACGTTCACCCAAACTGTAGAAAACAGAAGAGGAAATGTCAGAAAACTTTCTCATGATTGAAGTGATGAGTCTAAAATGGTAGCATCCCTGAAATGCTAGATGCCCTCAGGTTATTATTTCTCTATTATCCCTCCTTTATTTAATAGAAGAAAAGACCAAAGAAATCAGTTAATGTCACCTTAATAATTCCATTTTATTTGGTAAATTGGTTTTCCTTTTACCTGTTTGAGTAAATCCATTCATATTCTTTCTGCCCATTTTGTTCTTTATTTTACATTCTCTTCACATGCCGGTCTGTTACTCCCTGAAACCGTTTTCAAAGATTTGAAGAGGAATAACAATATCCAAAAGTAAATGCAGCGCTCCACTGTTAAACCAAGAGCAGCACCAGTCATCAGGTTGACCCACTTTCTTCCAACACCTGCCCCATCAGCTGCCTGAGCCTTTCCAAACCCTTATCATCCCTATAAATCCCTACAAATGTAACTAAGGAGCTCCTACTGATAGAAAATTTCCAGCCTCCCCTTGTCCCAAAGCCCATGGGCCTCTAACTCCATCCATCCCAACATCTCTTGTAAGCCCAGAGCTGGTAGAGGCCAGGAACATCCCCTGCTGTGAGCAGTCCTCCAATTGATGAAGTGCTTATGGCACACCTGACACTTTCCCATAGGACTTCTGCTAGACCAGAGGCTGCTGTTCCTGAGTACTTTGGTCATGAGAAGAAAGCTGAGTACTTGTTTTTTTTATATATACTGATATATCTGACTATACCCATGAGAACAGTCCATGATGGGAATGTCTTTTTCAGTCCTAACTGAAAAAGAAATCACCAGAACCATTCCAAGAAGCTACTTAGACAAGAGTAGGCAGCATTATGCACTAATTTTCTTGTTTTTTCTTGCTTGCTTTAGGGCAATTATAGTATTATTATACAAGGATTCTCTGATGATTCTGAGAATAATATGGCCATATGCTTGAATTTCACCATGATAGTAAAAGAAGATGTTTTCTGATTGAGTGCAACAAACTTTTCAAATAATTCGAGAACACTGAGGTCACTTCTGCAAGCAACTGGAATCCAAGCTGCAAAGTAATAAGCAAACTAAATATCCTGAAGTGGAATACATCTTATGTTGTCTGGAAAGCTATATGATATACAATCTTACTCATTTATAGCACTGCTGTAATCAAATGCTCAGCCAATGTGCACAAATTCTCCAGGTATCAGGCATTCTGATTAATCCACAGCATAACCCTGACCAGATGTCAGGCTGAGGACTGCATTTTTCTGCTATGCTTTGAGTTATGATACAGTCAAATTCTTCAGACTGAGCTAAACTAATCAAGAAGTTTTGAAGTTTTGAAGTGCAAGAATCAGAAGTTCACCAGTACTCAATTGAAAACACAGCAATTGAATTTTGGAACCGTGCCATAAGTTGTTGCGTTTTTTTTTCTTTTAACAGTAAAACTTGTTTGTACAATCAATTTGAGAAGTGTTTTTTTTTATTCTCCTATTTTCTGATTAACTTTGGATGTTTCCTAATGTTCTGCTCTTTTTATGCCAAGCTAAAACAGAGGAGTAACAATTTGTTATGTGGTTCTAGCTGATGTGAATAACACCCAAAGTGGAACATTTCCAGTTACACCAATACAGTACAGCTGAGTTTAACCATCCAGAGCCCTATACTGCAACCTCATAGAATGTTTTAAGCTCTTGCTCAGAGTCCAAGGGCCAGAGGCTCTATGAGCTGTTTCCTTCAGAAGCAGGAGGATGGTGTCACCCAACAGGTTGATCTGTTTCTCATCTATTCCTCAAAAGCATGTCTAAAGCTTTTGCTGTGGCTTTTGCTCCCTGGGAAGCCCAACACTGAGTATCCACCTGCCCTCTCTGCTGCACCTCCACACCCAAGACCTTTGATGGAGTATGAGATTTGGTCCTGAGGAAGAGTGATGTCCTCTTCATCCTCAGCCCCCAGCCAGTGCTTGCTTAGCATGTTCAGAGACTTTTCCCCAACTAATAGGACATTGTTGAAGTTGCACTTCGTGCTGGCTACTAGTTCGTGCTGTGTGTAGCAGATTGCTTCCAAATGCCTCAAAAAAATTAAATACCAGAACAAACCAACACTCTTGCAGTCTGCTAAATATCAAGCATAAAAAATAGCAAAAGTGAAGCTTTTAATCTCACTTTACACATAAAGAGAGATGTTCTTCAAATTTGGTATCAGAAAACTCAACCAAAAAAACCCCCACCCAAGTATGCAGATACTCCATTTAAAAGTTGGTTTTAGTATAGCTAGTTTGGCTAAATAAAGCAAAATCATCAAGAGTCTATAAAAATAGAAGCAGAACTTCATCTTTACTGGAGACAAGAAGCTGTGATTATATCCAAGTGGTGATGGCAAAGCATCTGTGCTTGCCTTCAGTCCACAGACCATTGCAGGAGTAGTCCATGATGGAGTGCCTTAGCAGCTTCCACTTACATTTGAGCTAATTTACTAGAGTTGTGATAAATTTTTTCTTAATCTGAAATATCAATCAAAAAGCAACCAGCGAGCTTGATAAGCAATACCTACTTTTCTTCTTTTTGAAACAGTATTACTGGTCTAGGCAACAGTCTTACCTTATGATGTCCCTGTGTACATATCTCACATCATTCAGCAACCACCAGGTGAAGCATCAAAACCATTTTTAATGACAAAGTGTTCTGGGATTTTTGCTGGCCTGAATTATTCAGGGTATTAGAAGAAATGTTTTGTTTACTAAGCAGCAAAGTATCACAGGTTGGAGAGACTAACAGCTCCTGAAGATCAAAGACATCATAAACTCTGTTTTTCATTAGTACACATTTTAATGCCTTATGGATATTACAGAAAATTTACAGTATAACTAAAAGTATAAATAGAACTTCTGTCTCTAAATAGAGACATTCACAGATAAACATTAGGTATTCAGTATCTTTCATTGCAGAGTTTTGTAGGGTAGATCTTCAGCTGAAGGTTGCACATGCCAGCAGACAGGATTGCAAGGCAAAGCACAGGAGCCACACTTTATAAAGCAAAGACCTTTCAAAAGCCCCAAGTTTTCTGCTATGTATGATGAAAGTACTGGCTTATTGCAGTGCTGGTGGCTGCTGCACCACATTCCTCTGTGGATAAGAGGAGACAGATTTTGGAAGGTGTGAGATCACCCAAACAGCTTACCCTTAAAATCGCTGTGATATTGTAAGGGTGAAGGGCAGAGCTGAAGGTAGAACTTTGCTCTGCATGTCTGGTTCCCAGGACAGAGCTGTGAGAAGGCTTTCCTTCCTCCCTTCTGCTGTTGTCCAGAGTTGACAACAGTTATCTCCTAATTTTCCTGTCCAAACTTTCCTGAGCCTATACTCAGGGCTCTACAGCAGAAAGGAGTTAACTCAGCATGAGATGAGTTACTTAGATCCTGTAAAGACTAATCTGAATGTTTCCTCTTTTTTCACTTTATTGGCTATTAAACTTTGATTCATTTTTTTACCTCTTCATTTTCTGCCTCTGTCCAGAGTTGGAATGGTGTGAATGCTGTGAAGTAAAACATTGACTGCAAATTTCTTTCTTAAACTATTCAGTGAGACCTACCTGCCTTGAGATTTCTGTGTTTTCCCAGGAGTTCCAGGGAGCAGTGCAAAGCCCCCTCCCATGCAGACTGAAATAATTCAAAGAAGGCCTTATGTTTGGCATACTTATCTGAAACTAATATCTAAAGCCTTCACAAATATCTCTTTTTTCTCTCCTTCATTACTGTTGTTTTCAAGCAGCTGTCAGGATTTGCTGCAGATGGGAAAATAGCTTTTCTTCACCCCCTCACCCTCTGTCACCAAATATGTAATTATCAGAAGAAGCAGTTCCTGTACAATGTGGTTTCCGATAAGAATGCACACTTTTTGAGCTGTTATTACAGTCTCATTTGATAAAAGCAGTAAAGCATACATAATTTCAGATGAGAGAAGTCCTGCTGACCACAATAACGTGTGCATTTGATGGTTGAAATTGTAACATCATTTGAGATAGACAGAGAAAGAAAATTCCATGGAATTCAGGTATTACAACAGCATATCTTGTGTTCAGGGATGTAGTGGAAGGCACAAGCAATCCTTCAGTCACCAGTCAGCTTGGCTAGCAAAAAGCACACATACCCATATGAATAAACTATGTGGTGCCTGCAGCAAGAAGGAGTTGGACTTGATGATGCAGGAGGCGTGTCCTGATCTGCAATACAGGCATCAAAAGAAAAACATAGCAGCATTAATCCCTTTTGCATGATTTTGTTCTTGGGGGAAAATACTACCAATTGCTTTGGAAGGGTCTATGCAGCATATTATGCTGAATGACTTCAGCTGCTTTGTTCTGCCTGTTTGTCCTTGCCAGCACAAGTGAGTTCAGGGGCAGCAGATGGAGTAGTGACATTTCTAATGGAAGAGATGGAGAGCGAGGGAAGGAAGGGAGGGGGACTCCTGCCTGCAGAGATTAGGGGAGAGAGGAGAGGAAAAAAAAATATTATACATATTATACATATATATATATACATATACATATATACACATATATATACATGCATACATGTGTCTGACCAGGTAGTTTATACAGATTCCCAAAGCTTCTGTCTGAAAAAAATCCACCACAACAAACCCACTTTTGTTTTTTTTTTTCCTTTGGGCTTTAGCCTAAACAGCTACCTTAGCTACAATGTTGTGTTTTTGAATTTAAATTTCTTGCTAACTTAAGTTCTTATGGGCATAACTAAGCAAGCAAAACTTTTAATAGCAAGCCTGGCTCTTTGCTCACAGCAGGGAACCGTCACTCATTCTGTATAGGTCCCTGTCTGCCCATTTCCCTGTGCTGCACAAAACATTTGAGTACTACAGAGTAGATGATATTTTTTTCTTAAATTGTGACTTCTACTAACTGAGCACATCCACTGTGTGTTTTGTTCTCTGAGAGGTTTGTCATCTCTCCTGAAGAAGTACCTCCACACTGATTATGAAACTGGTTTGGTTCTTATATACATTCTGTTCAGCCACATTTCATTTAGATTTTTCACTGCATTACCCCTAGTTTTGGTATTTTTAATATAGCAATGTAGTTTAACAATTTCAGTAATGCAAGTTAAGATAAAAACCAACAACCAAACAAGCCCTACAGTAAGTAAAGATACATACAGAAAAGCAAAATTTTAGCATTAGTCCTCTGAAAACAATAGAATTGAAAAATCTGCCCTTCACTTATGAGATGCATAAAGGAAAAAATAATAAAACAAAATGTAGTGCATATGAGAGTGAACTGTTTTTCACTTTGACCCTGAATTAATTTGAGCCTATTTTAGAATGATGTGATTTTATCTCACATCTGAAAATCAGCTGAACAGACTGGTAGTTATCTGTTCTAATCATATATCACACTCAAGCAATCTGCTCTATGTCAGTGCATATTGTACGGAGTGGAATTTTCCTTATATCTTTAAAGCAATAAAGATGCTTAAGAGCACAGATATAACGAAGATAGAGAAATGAACATCATTAGTGCAAGTTTCACAGATGACTGCCAGAAAAACAGACTGTCAGGAGCAGTATTCCTTTCTCATTCCCTAACCTACCTTCCAATGACTCTGACTGCTAGTTATACAGTTTCTCTAACCTGTCAAAGTTTTGATGATTTTAATATTTTAATAAAGGTGAAAAGGGTATCCTAAAAAAAAAATCTAAATTAATATCTTATCTAGAAGAATCCAAAATATTAAAATGAAGAAACAGTATTGTCAGATGAGTAATAAGGATAAAAAAAAGTGTTTGTGGGAAATAAATAATTTTGTTAGCTTCAGAATGTTGTGTATTTATTTTGACTAAATAACTTAAAAATACTAGGCTTCAATTACTTTAAATTTGAGACACTTCAGCAAATAAGAAATATTTTTCTGCTTTTTTGTTTTTGACAAAGAGTCATTATTCAAGCAAAGACTATTGTACCACAAAATCACTATGATTTTGCAGACAAGCCAGGAGTCAAGCTGTGATAGTTATATCAGTATCTACTTGACTATCTGAGTTGTCCTTCTGCATAGAGGTGCACAGCCCAGGTCTAAATTACTTAAATGCCCTTTTCTGGAATTGATATGCAAAGGGCAACATTACAGCTTTGCAAACAATACAATAGGAATCAAGTTGTCCAGGGGAGAAGATCAAACCACATACAGTAACTTTGTAAATTATAATTTTCTTCTAGTACATCTGGTTTTATAAAAAGTAAATGCTGCAACAAATAGAAAAAATAAACAGACTGGTATGCCTCCTCCTTATGCAACTTTAGGAGTGCATGGATAGGGTAACCAAAATTTAGAGCAGAGTACAACAGAATAGAATAGTTCAGTTGGAAGGAACCTCAATGATCTCATCTGACTGCCTGACCACTTCAGGGTTGACCAGAAGTTAATAATGGCATCCTGGACCTGCTGTG